ACCTGCCTAGTTGGTATATTGTAATGGGTTACCTACCCAGATGGTCACATTGTAATGGGTCACCTGCCCAGATGGTATATTGTAATGGGTTACCTACCTAGATGGTCACATTGTAATGGGTCACCTGCCCAGTTGTAATGGGTATATTGTAATGGGTTACCTACCCAGATGGTCACATTGTAATGGGTCACCTGCCCAGATGGTATATTGTAATGGGTTACCTACCCAGATGGTCACATTGTAATGGGTCACCTGCCTAGTTGTAATGGGTATATTGTAATGGGTTACCTACCCAGATGGTATATTTTAATGGGTTACCGACCCAGATGGTATATTAGGATTTTTTATAAGACATGATAGGGTTCGAAGGCGCATTGTTCAATAGATGGAAGCTTGGAGGAAATGAGGGCTCGAAGGCGCACTTGAAGGCGCGCTCGAATGGAGGTAGGATAGGAAATGCACCACCTATGATGGTCGAGGGCTCAAAGGCGTGCTCGAATGGAGGTAGGATAGGAAATGCACTACCTTTGATGGTCGAGGGCTCGAAGACGCTTTCGAAAAGAAATAAGACAAGGGCTTGAAGGCACGCTCGAATGGAGGTAGGATAAGAAATGCACTACCTTTGATGGTCGAGGGCTCGAAGATGCTTTCGAAAAGAAATAAGACAAGGGCTCGAAGGCACGCTCGAATGGAGGTAGGATAGGAAATGCACTATCTTTGATGGTCGAGGGCTCGAAGGCACACTCGAATGGAGGTAGGATAGGAAATGCACTACCTTTGATGGTCGAGGGCTCGAAGGCACGCTCAAATGGAGGTAGGATAGGAAATGCACTACCTTTAATGGTCGAGGGCTCAAAGGCGCACTTGAATGGATTTCGTTAGAATTTTCTCTAAAAAATTTACAAAACTCATTGTCCAAGGTCTCAAAGTTTAAATGATATGCATGCATATTTACCTGATTTGAAATATAGGCCCCCATTTCTTCTTAATCTTCTCGTTGCTTGGTTGGTGAGATCTTGTTATCTGATTTGAGTCATCTTTATAGTTTAGCTTTCTAGCCCACTCGAGTTGGCTCATATAAGTCTATTTCCAAATTTATTTGTATAACTTAGCATTTTTGGTGCCCATCGTGACCCACTTGCTTGCTAAAGATTTCCTGATTCGTCAAATAATTTAAGAGGATTACTCATTACTCCTCGTTTCACTGCTAGAAACATTCGGTGTCACTTGCTGAAAGGATCGAGTTGTCTTTTGTAAACCAAAATGCCCCCTTGTCTGGTTAAAGGAAATTACCATCTCCTTTTCTAGAATTTTTCCTTTTAAACACAATGTTGCCCCCTTGTATTAGTTATTGCCTCTAAGTGTGCTCTCTTAGTGATTTGGATAAATAATGGTTCTAAGAGGTCATTCTCTCATATCTATCCTTTTTCTGTTTGGTGAAGGAATATGGGTCTAGAATGAATCTTGAAATCTTGATCTTGCATTTTGAACACAAAAAATTATTTCGATGTGAGTCTAAAACAATTTGCTTTTGAAATCTTGCAACTCCTTGGTTATTTTTCTTTCTTGGAAAAGAGATTATTTGTTCTTGTGTTTGGCAATGAGGTCTTCGGTGAAAATATGCCATGATATTATGAACTTTTGTTTTTATAGGTTTTCAGAGTGGTGGGCTCGAGAAAAAGCTCGAGGTTTTGTATGAGAAGAACTTGTCTTTTTTTTTTTGCACATTTATTTTTTTATCAGCATGAATAATAATGAGTAGTTTATTCTTGATGTCATGAATCTTATGAAAAAGTATTCTTTGCATTTTGAGAGCATTGTTTATTGTTCTAGGTTGCTTGCTTGCTTGATTAGAAAGGACTTCTATAGGCACGTAACGTAGGTTATGGTTTTTGGCTATGAAAGAAAATGATTCATAAGGCTCAAAGAGTGTTTCAGGGCTTCAAAGACTGAGGATCACTATTAACAGTTTGACTATTGATGTCATTCATATTTTCTTTTGCTGCTCTTCTTTGATTTGCTGTTTTCTTTTTCTTTTTCATTGCTTTGCTATAGAGCATACTCATTTTATCTTGGTTATCACTTTTTCTTGTGATTTGAGCATGCCCCCTAGCATTTGAGTTTCTTGAGCTTTTTTTCTTTTTCTTTTTTGACTTTCGGCTTTCTCACAGCATTATCCTCTTTCTTGATAATTGAAATTTCACTTGCCCCCAGTGTGGGGTGTGATCCTAGTCGAGATTTTTTTATGAAAGAAAAAATTATTCAGGCTCAAAAAGGGTTTGCAAGGGATGTTCTTATTTTAGAACGTGAAAGGAAATAACAAAGATGGCCTTTCCTCATTTCAAGCGCAAGCAGCTATGATCAATAAACTTTGACCTCGTATAGTATGATGGTTTATTCTTTGCAAAGATATATTTCATGAGTTATGAGCAACAAGTTTACTACATACCATTATTCATACATTTAAAAAAACACATGATTCAAGAGTAATGGGGTAAAGGTGTTTATTCATTTTTTTTTTTTAATATTAGTCACCTTAATAATGGAGTTGCTTGATTCAATTGTCATTCTACAAGTAGAATGTCAAAAATATTGTTTTTGGATAAACATCAAATTACTTTTGAAATCAAAATGCCAGATCAATTTTTCAAAACTCTAATAGGGAAACTGATTTTGGTAAGAATGATGAATTGAATCTATGAGATCATGCAAGGCTTCAAGGTTGTATTTACTAATTCTTTGATAAACACTTATAAGAGAGAGCAAAGACATGCAAAGTGAATTTATTGGCAAAACTTTTATTGATTGGATGAGAACTTATACAATCATGGATAATATTTCTTCACAGAATCGGAATTCACTGGCCTACTCAACTCTTCTCCATCCATTCCTGTCAGTATCAATGCTTCTCCAGAGAATGCCTTTTTTACTACATAAGGACCTTCATAATTGGGTGCCCACTTGCTATGATTTTCATTAGGTAGTAATAGGATTTTTCTCAATACAAGATCTCCTGCTTCAAACTCTCTTGGTCGAACTTTTCTGTCATATGCTCTTGCTATCCTTTTTTGATACAATTGGTGGTGACAGATTGCAGCTAATCTCTTTTCACTGATCATATTTAGCTGTTCATATCGTATTCTTGCCCATTTAGCCTCTTCTAGCTCAGATTCCATGAGGACCCTTAAAGAAGGAATCTCTACTTCCAAAGGCATCACTGCCTCCATTCCGTAAACTAATGAATAAGGTGTAGCCCCAGTGGACGTTCTTATTGCTGTTCGATATGCATGTAAAGCATAAGGAAGCCATTCTTGCCAATCTTTATATGTAACCACCATTTTCTGGACAATCTTCTTTATGTTCTTGTTAGCTGCTTCAACAGCACCATTCATCTTTGGTCGGTAAGGGGATGAATTGGAATGCTTGATTTTCCATTTAGTGCATAATTCCACGATCATCTTCCCATTGAAGTTCTTGGCGTTATCGGTTACTATCCTTTCTGGCAAACCATACCTACAAATTAGGTCTCTCTCAATGAAACGCTTGACCACTTTCTGCGTCACATGAGCATATGAACAGGCCTCTACCCACTTTGTAAAATAATCAATTGCGACCAAGATAAATCGATGACCATTGCTAGCTTTTGGATTAATAGGCCCAATCACATCTATCCCCCACATTGCAAATGGCCAAGGTGACACCATATTGAATAAGGGCAATGGAGGCGCATTGATTTTGTCACTATACACCTGACATTTATGACATCTTCGGACAAATTCTATACAATCCTTCTCCATAGTCATCCAAAAATACCCTGCTCTTTGTATTTTTCTCGCCATCATGTGTCCATTTGCATGGGTGGTGCAAATTCCTCCGTGTACTTCATACAAAGCTTTATTGGCTTCTGATCTGTCTAGGCATCTTAATAAAGTCCCATCAAATGCCCTTTTGTATAAGATTTCTCCATCTAGAAAGTATTCCATGGCCATTCTTCTCAACGTCTTCTTATCTGTCTTTGAAGCTTCAGAAGGATATTCTCGATATTGGATGAATCTTTTTATATCTGCATACCAAGGATTGCCATCAATTTCTTCTTCTATTAAATAACAATGAGCAGGAGAACTTCTGATATCAATGCCTATAGGATGTACTCTGATACCACAATCGATTGTGGCCATAGAGGCCAGGGTTGCTAAAGCATCCGCAAACTGATTCTTATCCCTTCCTAAATGATTGAACTCTATCTCTTCAAACTTTTCAGCCAACTTGGAGAGATATTCTTGATATGGTTTCAATTTCTCATCTTTTGTCTGCCATTCCCCCTTTGTCTGGCAGATTATCAACATGGAGTCTCCATATACCTCTAGTTTTTGTATCTTTAGTTCCAATGCAGCTTCTAATCCATGAATACAAGCCTCATATTCAGCTGTGTTGTTTGTGCAACTAAATTGCAATTTAATGGAGATGGGATATTGTTTCCCTTCTGGAGAAATTATTACAGCACCAGCTCCATTACCAGACACATTCACTGCACCATCAAAGTACATGGTCCACCAATCACTTTCTATTACTAACACATCTTCATCAGGGAAGTCAAAATTTAATGGCTCATAGTCTTTAAGGGCATTATCAGCTAAATGGTCTGCGATTGCACTTCCTTTCACGGATTTTCTTGTTTTGTAGATCATATTCAGTCAACAACACTTGCCATCTGGCTAGCCTATTTGACATGTACGGTTTTTCAAAAATATATTTCAGAGGATCTATCTTTGAAATTAACCAAGTGGTATAATATAGCATATACTGCCGGAGTCTTTTCGCACTCCATACCAAAGCACAACACAACTTCTCAACCATACTGTAACGAGATTCACACTCAGTGAACTTTTTACTAAGGTAGTAGATGGCTTGTTCTTTTCTTCCGGTCTCATTATGTTGGCCAAGCACACAACCCATTGCTGATTCAGTCACTGTTAAATATAAAATGAGAGGCTTTCCAGGCATAGGTGGTACCAATAGAGGTGGGTTTTGCAGATATTGTTTTATCTTATCAAATGCTTTTTGACAGTCTTCATCCCATACTCCAGGGTTTTTCTTTTGAAGTAATTGAAAGATTGGTTCATAAGTGACTGTGAGTTGTGAAATAAATCGAGCAATGTAATTTAAACGCCCCAAAAAACCTCGAACTTCTTTCTCGGTTTTAGGAGTTGACATAGCTTGTATGGCCTTCACTTTATCAGGGTCTACTTCTATGCCATTATTGCTTACCATAAATCCCAATAACTTCCCTGACTTCACCTCAAATGTACACTTTGCAGGGTTCAACTTTAATTGATACTTTCTCAGCCTTTCAAATAATTTCTTCAGAGCTGGGATATGGTTTTCCTCATCTTTAGACTTAGCAATCATATCATCCACATATACCTCAATTTCTTTGTGCATCATGTCATGAAATAGTGTCACCATTGCTCTTTGATAAGTTGCCCCAGCATTTTTCAATCCAAATGGCATAACTTTATAGCAATATGTTCCCCACGGGGTGACAAATGTTGTTTTCTTCTTGTCTTGCTCGGCCATTTTAATCTGATTATACCCAGAGAAACCATCCATAAAAGAGTAAGTAGAACTCTTAGCAGCACTATCCACTAGCACATCTATATGGGGTAAAGGAAAATTATCTTTTGGGCTTGCCTTATTCAAGTCTCGGAAATCCACACATACCCTGATTTTGTTATCTTTCTTGGGTACTACTACGATATTGGACACCCATTGAGAATAATCGACTACTTTCAAGAATCCAGCATCCCACTGTTTCATTATTTCTTCTTTCACTTTGATTAGTATATATGGCCTTGTCCTCCTCAACTTTTGCTTAACTGGCTTACAACCTTCTATCAAAGGTAGTTTATGTACCACAATATCAGTATCCAGACCAGGCATATCAGCGTATGACTAGGCAAAAACATCAACATATTCTTGTAAAAGAGCAATCAATTTCCTTCTTTCATCAGCAGAGACTAACTTCCCTATCTTCAACTCTCTTTTATTATCCTCGGTGCCCACATTTATCAGTTCTAATTCTTCTTTTGCAGGCTTCCATGTGCGGTCAGATTGTTCGACTAACCTTGCGAACTCATGGATATCCTCTTCACCAAACTCTTCCTCATCCATGGCAATTATATTTTCATCAGAGTTAAGCCAATTATCCACAGTGCAATGAGTTTGTGAGGTGTATGACAATCCACTTTCAGATTTCCTGAAAGCGAAAAGTGTTTCGGTTATGAGTATATAGTTCTGGGAAATTAAATAAATGAACAGAGAAAGAGAAAAAGAAAAAAAACGATTGAAAGAAAGTATGCATGATCTCATTGAAATCTAAAGGATAGAAGGGCTCAACCACAAAACCTTATTGCCAATCTCTTAAGCCATGATGATTTGGCAAGGCACAATTATTCAAACAATACAAATAACCAAAACAACAAACAAGTAAACAAACATTACTTTTTGAAAATAATTGGAACTTCATGAATTTCCCAATTTGCTAAATCTTCTCCCTCGGCCAGTTTCCTCACGAATTCTGATGAGCCATCTTCCAAAACGCTAATAGTCAGCTGAGGCAACTGTTCATGAGTACTATCTTCTTCCTTTAACTCTTGTTCACTGTCTTTTTCAAGATAATTGATAGTAACACCATTGAATTCCTTTCTTAGTCCTCCCTCATAATCTTCAGTTTTTATCACATATGCGGGTCTTGGGAACGTTACATGGATTGGTGGGATTTCCATTCGATCTTCATCTGGTTCTCTCCTTTCAATCCGGGCCATTCTCTTTTCTCTTCTAATTTCAGCTGCTCTTTTGAAATCTGCTTTCCCAGGCTTAAACCCTAAGCCAAACCTTTGATCCGCGCACTTCATTTTTATCACATTAACCCTCTCAGGCATTCCGGTAGTGTGGTCATATTGAAATGGCAGTCCATGCTTTAAGAAGTATTTAGCAACCATTTTTGCTGCTTCAGAAATTTCTGGTTTCCTTCGTATCGTATTTTCTGGTACCCATTCAGCATTTACAACTTCAAATGCATGCAAATTTCCATCCTTACTTTCTTCAGTTTCTATGTAAGGGATCGATACATTTTTCATTGTTGATAAAGTTTCCTCAGCCCTCACAGTCACCAAATTTCCATTGATGATAAACTTGACCCGTTGATGTAAAGAAGATGCGACAGCTCGGTCTCCCAAGTAACATGCTATATGATGGATGAATGTCCATTACTTGTAATGTGACTTGAAATGGTTGTGGGCCAATGATTAGTTCAACATCAATACTCCCAATGATTGGTCGAGGTGACCCATCATATGCCCTAGCAGTCATGGTACTTGGCTTCATGTGAGAGGCATCAACTGGCATTTTATCAAGTACATGTCTTGGTAATACATTGAGAGCAGAACCATTATCTATAAGCACCTTAGCTACCACACAATCCTTGCATTTTACTGTGATGTGCAATGGTTTATTATGACCGGTCCCTTCATGATCCAGCTCATCATCGGTAAAGTAGAGGTAGTTGGTGGCTTGAATCCTGCCCACCAAATGTTCTATGGAGTCTTGTGTGATATCCTGAGGAACATATGCTTCATTAAGAACCTTCTGAAGCACGTTCCTATGCAATTCTGAACTCAACATTAATGATAACAAAGAAATCCTAGCCGGTGTTTTCTTTAGCTGATCAACCACACTATATTCACTGTGCTTCATCAATTTCAGAAATTCATTAGCCTCTTCATCACTTACTGGCTTATTAACCTCATCTGTCTTTGTCAATTCCACCATATCTTTTCCTTTGGCTTTTCTGTGATTTTCCAACTCTTCAGGAGTAAAACATCTCCCACTTCGAGTGAGTCCTCCTATTTCAGCATGGAAAACAGGGGCAGGATTTGTGTTGTGAAAGGAATAACCATAATTATATGGTTGGGCACTAAAACTCCCGCTAACAGTATTCATAGGCTTGGTTAGGATCATTTTTGGTGGACCCTTTTTGGTTGGTATATATCTACAAACTTCCACCTTCTTGTTACAACCAGTCATTGTTCCTACCAACTCATCTTCTTTGGGTTTTATTAATCTTAATACTCCCAATGCCATCATATTTTCTACCTCCAAATGGAACTCCTCACACGAGTCGATATCATGCCCAAGCTGCTGATGATATTTACAATATTCATTATCATTCCTTACAGCTTGTACTTTGACTGGTGTCTTTAAATAGTCTATTTGCCTCAACATCCCATACAATCTATCCATAGTCACCCTTAAAGTTGATGTACTTCCCCTTCCTATCTCCAAATTATTAACTCCCCCGCTTCCAGAAGCATGATTTGGTAGAGGGTTAGAATTCACATTTGGAGACTCATCAAAAGAAATCCAACCAGCTTTGATAAGCTGAAGGATTTTTCGTTTGAATGCAATACATCCATCAATATTATGACCAACAGCACCAGCATGGTATTCACATTTTTTATCGGGTTTATACCAAAAGGGAAATGGTGGTTGTAAAGGTTCTAATGGAATAGGTGCTACCTGACCAATACTAAGCAATCTTTGGTGCATTTCAGTAAGAGACATGGGTAATGGTGGAAGTTGCACTTGATCTGTTGGAAAATTTCTTCTTGGGCGGTAAGCATTATTGGTTTGGTTGTTTATTGGGTTGTTTTGGGTGTTTGTAGGTGAAGAGAATTTTATATTGGATATAGAGGGGGTAGGTGGAATACTTTTGAAGCTGTAATTATCTTGGTAGGTTTTCTTCCCTCTACTTTCCCTTTCAACATTGTGAATTTCTGTTTCTTTCCTCTTCCTAATAAAACCTCTTTTTTCAGTAGGATCCACGATCCTACCCGTCCGAACGACTTGTTCGATCCTTTCAGCTATGACAACCAAATCGGAGAAATTTTGTGTTGCACTGCCTACCAAGTACTCAAAGTACGGGGCTTTGAAAGTATTGGAAAATAAGTCAGTCATCTCCCTTTCTGACAATGGAGGACTTACTTGTGCGGCTAATTCACGCCACTTTTGGGCATATTCTCTTACAAACTCCTTATTGCCTTTTTCCATGGCTTGCAGACTTGATCTATCTGGGGCAATATCCATGTTGAACTTATATTGTCTAATAAAAGCATCAACCAAGTCCTTCCATCCTTTAATCTTGGTATTATCCAAACGCATATACCAAGCAAGAGCAGCATCACTTAAACTGTCCTGAAAGAAATGGATCAATAATCTCTCATCATGGACTACTTCAGCCATCTTATTACAATATGCTTTAAGATGGGTGATTGGGCACTGAGTTCCGGTATATTTAACAAATTCTGGAACTCTGAATTTTCTAGGAATAACCACGTTAGGCACTAAACACATTTCAGCGGCCTTCACGGGATCATACAAACTATTCCCTTCTATTGCCTTCATTCTTTCTTCTAAGGCAGCTAGTTTCTCATGACCATTTTCCTCTATTATCTTGTTCCTTTGAGGTTTTTCTTCTGTCAACACAATATGAGGGATCCTCATTGGATGTGCTGATTGAGTAGGTGCGAAAGGAGCAGCATGCTGAGGTTCGAATGGCGGAATAAAGGAAGGTGGAGGCTGAGGTGTACATGTTTGTTGAGAAGATGTTCCTTCCCCAGCTCTAGGCCTCAAAGCTTGCTCGAGCAAGCTAGTGAGCCTTGCCACATCCTCTTTCAGGCTTTCCAACTCTCTTTGGTGTTGCATTTCTAACTGAGCTCTCTCTTCATTTTCCATTTTCTTTCGTGAACGAGTATTATGAATACGTTTCAGTTGGGGACCTATATTTCACCTGTTATATGCAAAATATGACAATCTATAAGCAAATGTATGAGATGCATGAATGTGAATGCAACATATTGGATATAGATTCACACTTTGTTGGTGACATATGGTCGTTATTCATTAGATATGTGGGTTGAACTTGAACTTGATATCATTGCTGTAATGCCGAGGAGAGATCTGCTCAGCTTTTTGACATTTGGGCTTTCAGCCATATACAAATGTTTTTTTTTTTTGAAAATGTGGGTCTAACCCTTTCATTACTTATTTAAAAGCTTACAATGAAAAATTAATCTAATCTATTACAGGAGAAAAAACACTGCCTTTAGTAGCTATTGCTCTTAAAAAAAGATCGGTGTTATCCATGCTTCTTTGATATTTCATTATGTCTCCTCCTACTTGGCGAGCTTCCACTCGTAATAAATGGGCTTCTGCAACTGCTCTATCAATTTGATCTTGTAGTTCTCTTATCCTCTCAGTATGAATCAAGTTGTTTCTAGACAAAAAGTTATTAGCATTGTCCAATGTTTGATTATGCTGCTTTATCATTTTCTGGTTTTCTATAAGCTGTGCGGTTTTCAATTTTTCTTTTTCCAGCTTAGATCTCAATGCTTCTGCTTCAACCTTATGATCATTCAACGCTACTTTTTGCTCTTCATGTATTTTAGTCACATGTTTAGTGTTGACTATTTCAATCTCCGCTCTCCCCAATTGGTCTTTAAGCTTGACTACGTTCGCCCGACGCATTTTTAATGCAGTTTGCGTCTTGATAGCTGACTCTTCCCAATGCTTAGCTTTTGCCATATAATATGTCATGTCTTTATTGATCGTCTTCAATTCATCCTTTGCCTTTATCCAGTCTTGACCCACAGAGTCCTTTTCTTCTTCAACTGTTTTTCTCACAGCTCTTTTTTTGGCTAACTGCTGCTCCAAGGACACTCTCTGCTCCTCCTTTGCTTTAAGCTCGGCTTGTAACAATTTTACTTGTTCCCTTAATTCTTCTTCACTGTTCACTCTTTTCCTTCGAGTGCCCACAGATTCAGAAACTTCTGCCATATAAGAGACTCCTCCATTACGCCATTCGGGATACCTTTCACTAACCGTAGGATTCCTTACACCTATCTCCTTTTTAACTATCACCAAAGAACCCCAATCATGCTTAATGCTCTCTAGTATTTCATTATATGCTCCTTTGTAGACTCTAGTGAATTGAGCTAAACCAACTGTTCTTGGAATGCTTTGTATGCCCCCAAGCTGTCTTGCAACCAAAGCAGGTGCATAACTAATATACCCAGTCACCCCAATCAAAGGTACCCAAGGCTTTTTCCCACAGCCCATTAGGTATGCTACATTTTTCATCCATGGGGCTCTCCAATTAAAATTGCTTTGCGGAATTCCTTGCAATTTTACCCTCCAATCATCTTCAGAAAAGTTTTCCCATTCACTTGATACAAATAACTCGAGTGGCTTTTGATCAAACCACCAAAAATTTCGGAATACTGGTGTCTCGGACTCTATATGGCTTACCATCCAAATGAACAACAATGGAACACAACATCTCATAGAACCTTTCCCAATCCTTTTGCAATGATTGAGAGATAAAAAAGTTTCAGCCAAGATCGCAGCAGAAGGATTAATTTTGGTCTTCTCATACTCCATAAACAAATTAGCTGCCTCTAAACTGATAATTCCGGCCGTCGAAGGAAACAAAATCAACCCAAATATCCCCAAAGCCAATATTCGATATACCTCCAAATTAGCATCAATATTAGACTTTTTAGCAATCAAAAGCTCTTCTAATCGTTTCCATCTCAAACCCCCAGAATTATTTTTTTCTCTATATAAGCTCATTTGACGGATTCCCAATAGCTTAGCGAGCTCCTCTATAGTATTCTCAATCTTTTGATGAAAGTAAACCTTATGGATATCCTCAGGAAATTCTGTCAAAACACCGTATTCTTCAATGGTAGGAACCATGTCGATATTCCCAAATGTAAAACATCGATATTCAGGATCCCAAAAATGAATTAAGGTTTTTATGGCTAATGGCAGTACTGGAACATTCAGAAGATGCAAAACTCTCCCATACATCCTAGTAAATTCTGCCTCATCGGCCAAGTATTTGGTGAATGGAAGCAAACAACTGGCCTCATTTATTATGCATCTCACATCTTTTAGTAGCGGTATCCCACTGTCATCCAGTCTAGGGCAGTCTCCCTCAGTCATATGCAATGATTCAGATTCAAGCCCATACTCAACCGTTGTGATTTCACGATTAACGACATTATGTCACCTAAAAAACAATCCTGTAATAAAGATGCTATATGTTAAGCTTGCCTTAGTGAGATTTACATAGGGAACAACTTAAAGGGTAGGTTCTAGTCATTAAATGTTCAAGGTAGGCTACTATCTAGTCTTTGAAAGGTCTTTCGCATGCTCAGTGATCTTCCTCGAAAGGTTGATATGAGGCTTACAAGTAGCGTGAAGATAGAGGCCCTGAATAATATCAGTTTAGGCATACCAACCACTATCGAGTAAACAATCAAGCGAAAGTTGGATGGTTTCACGAGTCTTACCCAGGCTAAAGCCATTGGGGTACCGCTACTCTCCCACTTAACATAAAGTTTATACAACATATATTTATTATGAAATGCGTGGTGTGTGAAGGCGTCAATGCATATCCAATATATATGATGGCATGAATAAATATGGATGCTAAAGCTGTAAAAATAAATAAACCAAATAGAATAAAATAAAAACCAAAACACACAACAAATATTGGTAGCAATTTTTAACAAATAAAGCAAAGCTTAGTCTTAGTTCCCTAGTGGAGTCGCCATTCTGTCGCACCCGACATCGCGGCGGCCTTAAAAATGATTTAAATGGAATGGAAAGAACGGATTTCTGGCATCCAGTTCTTTGATGGGGGAATGATCTTGTTTAAGGAGTCGCCACCTAGTATTATGGTTACTAGGAACCCTAACTGGTCAACAGAGATTCTATGGTTCGAGACTGATTACGCAAGAGGGAAGATATTATCACCCCTTTTAGCGTCCTGCCTAAGGCAGGCTGCATTGCTGACTTTGTCAATAATTGCTAATGTTTTGTTGGGTTATGCTATGGTGGTCTTGCGTGTAATATTCCTGACTCTGGTGTCAGTGAATATTTAACTACAGATATTTCCAACTCTGGCGTTGGTAAATATCACGTAGCTATAAAAAACAAAATAAATTTAAATCAGTTATTTTTTATTCCTGACTCTGGCGTCGGTGAATAAACAAATCAAATAAATTTATTTTTACGCATCACATAAAAAATAAAATAAATTTAAATCAGATATTTTATTCCTGACTCTGGCGTCGGTGAATAAACAAATCAAATAAATTTATTTGTTTACGCATCACATAAAAAATAAAATAAATTTAAATCAGTTATTTTTATTCCCGACTCTGGCGTCAGTGAATAAATGAAAAAAAATAAACTTATTTTTTATGCATGTACATATTTTTTTATTTTTTTCTAGCTAAAAATAACGAAT